CCCTCCTTCAGAGTGCAGGCACTGTACTTCCCACACCACAACACCCTCCTTCAGGCAGGCACTGTACTCCCAGCCACCAAATCCCTCTTCAGAGGCAGGCACTGTACTCCACCACCACCACCGCCACCACCCCACCACCGCCACCACCACCACCGCCACCACCACCACCACCACCACCGCCACCACCGCCACCACCACCACCACCACCACCACCACCACCAGGGGTGCACTGTGAAGGTTAAACAGTAATTCTTTTATAAGGTTTTGTGGGCTCAAAAATTTTTTAAAACCTAAACCTGTAATCATAATTCGACCTTAAGTAGTAATTGTCTGCTTGTTTGTTCTCCTTGTAATGCCTAAAATTGTTGTTTGTATACCTTTAATGTCCTTCTATATAAACAATAAACAGTTATTGTAGTCTTATGTTAGGCTTAAGTTTGAACATTAAAATGGTATAAAATACCGACAGATTGTTAGGTAAGACACATATGCAACAGTTAGGTATCTTTATTTTGAAACGTTTCGCCTACACAGTAGGCTTCTTCAGTCGAGTACAGAAAAGTTGATAGAAGCAGAAGATACTTGAAGACGATGTAATCAGTCCATCACCCTTAAAGTTTTGAGGTGGTCAGTCCCTCAGTCTGGAGAAGAGCATTGTTCCGTTGTCTGAAACAATATGAAGTTGAAGTGACAGAATCGGGCCTTCAACTTCATATTGTTTCAGACAACGGAACAATGCTCTTCTCCAGACTGAGGGACTGACCACCTCAAAACTTTAAGGGTGATGGACTGATTACATCGTCTTCAAGTATCTTCTGCTTCTATCAACTTTTCTGTACTCGACTGAAGAAGCCTACTGTGTAGGCGAAACGTTTCAAAATAAAGATACCTAACTGTTGCATATGTGTCTTACCTAACAGGCTTAAGTTTGCTGGAAATGCTCTGCATAACTATGTTTTTTGTGCATAACTGTCACCCATCACTGTTCAAACATCGTATTATGCTGAAATAAAACACAGCAGGTGAGGGTTCAATTCCCAGTGAGGGTGAAAACATTAGGAGTGTTTCTTTACACCAGTTGTCTACAGTCACCCACCAGTAAAATGGGTACCTGGGTGTTAGTGGACTGGTGTGGGTCGCATCCTGGGACAAAACTGACCTAATTTGCCCAAAGTGGTCAGCATAACAAGCGGCTTTCTATACAGTAATATGTTATTGACGTCAGCTATGGTCTGTTTACCTTGTACATGTACGTACTTGTAGTAAATAAAGATATTAGTATTATTATTATATTATGACAATTCAATTTGCGATGGTACAAAAGCAATTACTTTGGAGATAAAACTTAAGATAATTACCCATCACAAAGGCTGCAAGTCCCTAACTTGTATTCATTCATTATTTACTTTTCAATATTGGTATTTAGTTAATTACAGTAATTATTTGTTTATATAATTATTCAGTGACAGTATTCCTTTATTTACTTATTTAGAATATCACATTCAATTTGACTTATGATATTTTCAACTCTTAATCAAGCCTTTGACTCTTTCGGTGGTAATGAGACAATATGTCATTCTGACAGCTGCTTGCTGAAGATAATAGTAGTTATATGAAAGTGTCCAGTGACTATATATGTGTATATATATTATAAAAACCAGAAGGAAGAAAAGAAGGCAGGAAGGAAGGACGAGATGAAAGGAAGGAAAAAAGTAAGGAAGGAGGGAAAGAAGAAGTAAAGAACAAAGGAAGGTAGGTAGATAGGTAAGGAAGGAAGGTAGGAAGGAATGTAGGACACCAGCAATCCTACCATCGTGTAAAACAATTACAGGCTTCCGTTTTACACTCACTTGGCAGGACAGTAGTACCTCCCTGGGCGGTTGTTGTCTACCAACCTACTACCTAGACATTTGTATATCTTTCTTCTTTCAACACACCAGCCGTACCCCACCGAGGCGGGGTGGCCCAAAAGGAAAAACGAAAGTTTCTCCTTTTACATTTAGTAATATATACAGGAGAAGAGGTTACTAGCCCCTTGCTCCCGGCATTTTAGTCGCCTCTTACAACACACATGGCTTATGGAGGAAGAATTCTGTTCCATTTCCACATGGAGGTAAGAGGAAATAAACAAGAACTAGAAAGAAAATAGAAGAAAACCCAGAGGGGTGTGTATACACCTACCATCCGACTTACGACCGAGTTCGGTTCTGAGAAACCGGTTGTAAGTCGAAATGGACATAAGTCGAACTTTACTACTGAATATCAACATAACATTTTTGTAATGACTTTATTTTATTGTTTTATTTTGGTATGTCATGTTTTACTTTACTTTTTATGCTGTTAGTACTGTATCTTATACTGTAAGGTTTAGGATAAACACTGTGTACAACACAAATAGTTGTTTATTTCCCAGAAATTTGGCATAAAAAAACCACAGTCGTAAGTCGAGTGGTCGTAAGTCGAGCAGGTTGTAAGTCGGATGGTAGGTGTATATGTTTGTACATGTATGTGTAGTGTGACCTAAGTGTAAGTAGAAGTAGCAAGACGTACCTGAAATCTTGCATGTGTATGAGACAATAAAAAGACACCAGCAATCCTACTATCATGTTAAACAATTACGGGCTTTCGTTTTACACTCACTTGGCAGGACGGTAGTACCTCCCTGGGCGGTTGCTGTCTACCAACCTACTACCTAGACATTTGTATATCTTTCTTCTTTCAACACACCAGCCGTACCCCACCGAGGCGGGGTGGCCCAAAAGGAGAAACAAAAGTTTCTCCTTTTACATTTAGTAATATATACAGGAGAAGGGGTTACTAGCCCCTTGCTCCCGGAATTTTAGTCGCCTCTTACAACACGCATGGCTTACGGAGGAAGAATTCTGTTCCACTTCCCCATGGAGATAAGAGGAAATAAACAAGAACAAGAACTAGAAAGAAAATAGAAGAAAACCCAGAGAGGTGTGTATATATATGCTTGTACATGTATGTGTTTTCCATAGGGAAGTGGAACAGAATTCTTCCTCCGTAATCCATGCGTGTTGCAAGAGGCAACTAAAATGCCGGGAGCAAGGGGCTAGTAACCCCTTCTCCTGTACAAATTACTAAATTTAGAAAGAAAAACTTTCGTTTTTTTTTTTTTGAGGGGCCACCCTGCCTTGGTGGGATACAGCCAGTTTGCTAAAAAAAAAAATGCATGTGTAGTGTGACCTAAGTGTAAGTAGAATTAGCAAGACATACCTGAAATCTTGCATATGTATGAGACAGAATAAAAAGACACCAGTAATCCTACCATCATATAAAACAATTACAGGCTTTCATTTTACACTCACTTGGCAGGATGGTAGTACCTCCCTGGATGGTTGCTGTCTACCAATGTACTACCACAGGATGGTAGTACCTCCCTGGATGGTTACTGTCTACCAACCTACTACCACAGGATGGTAGTACCTCCCTGGGTGGTTGCTGTCTACCAACCTACTACCACAGGATGGTAGTACCTCCCTGGGTGGTTGTTGTCAACCAACCTACTACCACAGGATGGTAGTACCTCCCTGGGTGGTTGTCAACCAACCTACTACCACAGGATGGTAGTACCTCCCTGGGTGGTTGTTGTCAACCAACCTACTACCACAGGATGGTAGTACCTCCCTGGGTGGTTGCTGTCTACCAACCTACTACCACAGGATGGTAGTACCTCCCTGGGTGGTTGTTGTCAACCAACCTACTACCACAGGATGGTAGTACCTCCCTGGGTGGTTGTTGTCAACCAACCTACTACCACAGGATGGTAGTACCTCCCTGGGTGGTTGTTGTCAACCAACCTACTACCACAGGATGGTAGTACCTCCCTGGGTGGTTGCTGTCTACCAACCTACTACCACAGGATGGTAGTACCTCCCTGGGTGGTTGTTGTCAACCAACCTACTACCACAGGATGGTAGTACCTCCCTGGGTGGTTGTTGTCAACCAACCTACTACCACAGGATGGTAGTACCTCCCTGGGTGGTTGCTGTCTACCATCCTACTACCACAGGATGGTAGTACCTCCCTGGGTGGTTGCTGTCTACCAACCTACTACCACAGGACGGTAGTACCTCCCTGGGTGGTTGCTGTCTACCAACCTACTACCACAGGACGGTAGTACCTCCCTGGGTGGTTGTTGTCTACCAACCTACTACCACAGGACAGTAGTACCTCCCTGGGTGGTTGTTGTCTACCAACCTACTACCACAAGACGGTAGTACCTCCCTGGGTGGTTGTTGTCTACCAACCTACTACCACAGGACAGTAGTACCTCCCTGGGTGGTTGCTGTCTACCAACCTACTACCACAAGACGGTAGTACCTCCCTGGGTGGTTGTTGTCTACCAACCTACTACCACAAGACGGTAGTACCTCCCTGGGTGGTTGCTGTCTACCAACCTACTACCTAGATATTTGTATATATATTATAGAATAATAGTAATAAAAAATATTTTGTATTGTTTGTGTAAACAAGTTTTGCAAACAATATATTGATAATTATGTTTGTGCGCTTATTGTGTTGTATACAACGAGTGAATATATGTACATTGCACCTTACTTTGGACTCACAGGCCACATAAGTTACGTGAAAAAATAAAACAGTGAAAAAAAAAAAGAAACCCTGGAATGCAAGTAAACCAAAGTTTACCAGGTGAGCAGCATTCGCTGCTGTTGCCATACATGGCTCATTTTCTGCCAACTTTATGCCTCTATATCTCGGTAAGTACTGATCGCAATTTTTTTTTTTTGGGGGGGGGGGGCTTAAAACAATCAGAAAATTAATCTTAACATGTTCATAAGAAAAAATAATTTTTTTTTTAAATTCTTCAACACCAGGAAACACTTCAGGATATGGGGTTGCGACAGTCAAAGGGTTAAGATGGGTTTGTCGGAACGTAACCCCATCTTAAGTCCAGGACCAACTGTATATTATGTTATTAAACTGCAATATACAATTAATTTATCTCTACTGACCTCAGCTCTTAGCTGGCGTTGAAAATTGAGGAGACGTAATGCTCGAAGCTCAATCTGAACTTTCACTTTCAAATCTTCTGTCATAGTTGCTGGAAGGTCACTCAATTCCTCGATTCGATAAGCAATACGTGCAGCCAACCTAGATATAAACATACAATAACCTTAAAAATTTAAATACATACTAATAATAATAATAAATTTCTTTCTTTTCTACAGAATACAGGTAGAGTGGTACCTCGAGTTGTGAACTTTATTCGTTCCAGAAGGCTGTTCCCATAAGGAATAATGTAAATTAGATTAGTCCGTTTCAGACCCCCAAAATTACACTTACAAAAATACACTTACAAAAATACACTTACACAACTGTAAGAGTTGGGAAGCTGTACGAAAGTCAAAGTACCACTGTAATGTACATAGTTTACACGTAATAGAATATTGTTAGGTACAAAATACAGCCACTTGTACATAGTGACAAGAGGCAGTTTAGAAGTGTATCAAACTATCTTCTGAAGAACAATACGAAAAACATTTATCAATAAGGACTATAATAAACTACAATATATGATATTGTTCACAACACATTACTCACCTCTGTCAGCCCCAGTATGGTCAGAGATGTTACCTTCAATTCATGTTATACTAGGCATAATAACTAATCAAAATTTGTTTTCAATTGCATGGCCATCTCCCACCAAGGCAGGGCAACCCCAAAAAAAAAAAAAAAACCATTCACCAACATTCACTCAACTGCCATCTTTACAGAAGTGTGCTGACATCACAGTCACATTACCTTCCGTGATACAACAATGAAATTATTAAAATAACTTTCTTTACATTTGATTTGATTTTTGATTTTTCATCTCGACTTCCACACTAAAAATGACTTTTAAAAAATTTAACATCCCAGTTAACTACAAGTAATTTTAATGTATCTAATACAATGATTACACTCTCAATGTTAACCCTTCAACTGTCCAAACGTAGACCTATGTTTTCACACGTAGTGCTCCGAACTTGATTTTCTCCATAAGCATGTAAAAAAACGTAGATCTATGTTCGGAGTGCTACGCAAGCGAACATAGATTTATGTTTGGACAGTTTAAGGGTTAATTAAAACATCATTGAGAAGGTTTGACTCAATAAAATTTTTACCATCATGGTAGAAATGGTTTAATGACATTACTACTACTAGCATTTTTTACTCAGAATTCTCCAGAAGAAATATACCTGGCCAAGTGCAAACACAATTTTTTCTACAAGGCAGCAATAAACCCATTGGGATCCTACAGCCCCTGAGGAACACGAATCAATCCAATTTAATCCAAAAAAAATGGAGGGCAGGTTCAATTCCTTGGATCAAGAGCCCCTCACTAGCAACACAGTACCTCCCTTCAGGAGCTGGCATGATCAAGACCTGTTTACATAAATGAATTCATCGCTAAGCAAGGAGCATACTATAATGGTAGTGGGTTTGTGTCGTCCATCTTGGATATTGTTTTAATGTCACCTTTCAAACATTTACAATATTTTTAGAATATTTTTAAATGTTTAAACAATAGTATATTGTACAGACACTGCCCTACTTACAAACATTCAAGTTACTACCATGTGCAAATACAAACAGACTGCCGTGTTAAAGTTTCATTCGCAATACTTCCGCAAATCCAAATTTTAAGTTGTGCTCCTTCTGCATAGTATGACGTTTTGCTACAACCCACGCCGGGCAGCACCGACATCAGTGGAGCTGACGAATGAAGATTTGATGGAGCTGGAAGATACAGCATAAGGAAGAGCAAGAGGAACAAGATGAAACTGTTCCTTCTAAAAAGTTTGAGATTAAAATGATGGCCAAGGCATTAAATCTTATAGAGAGGAGTCTCCATATGTTTGATCTTCAGGACCCCAATATCGAGAGATTCTCAAAGGTTTCAACTGGTGTTTACAATTCTATCTCATACTACTGTCTTATATATGATGAGAAGAGAAAAATGGTGCAAACTTCCATAGACAAATTCTTCAGACCAGTGTCTTCTACCTCAAAAGCCTCCTCAGATGTTGAATAAACCCAGGCTTACAAAACCCTGACTGACGAAGCATTTGATGACGAAGTGTATGAGATTGACGACCCTCTCCCCCAGGAGCCCCACACAACCTCCGATGTTCCTCTCATCCATCACCTCAAGTTTAATGCAACAATTAAAAAGGTAAGAAGTTTTTTATTACAGTATTTATTATTAAAATATGTTTTAGTATTAAGAACAATACATTACTGATACTGCACAGTATTGTTTTTAAGTTTTCAACAAACAATGGCAGATGACTGTGAAACAAAAACCTGTAACTGTTTTGCATGATGGTAGGATTGCTGGTTTTCTTTTTCTGTCTCATAAACACGCTAGATAACAGGGATATCTTGCTACTCCTACTTACACTTTGGTCACACTTCACAGACACGCACATGCATATATATATATACATACATCTAGGTTTTTCTCCTTATTCTAAATAGCTCTTGTTCTTTTTTATTTCTTCTATTGTCCATGGGGAAGTGGAAAAGAATCTTTCCTCCGTAAGCCATGCGTGTCGTATGAGGCGACTAAAATGCCGGGAGCAATGGGCTAGTAACCCCTTCTCCTGTATACATTTACTAAAAAAGAGAAGAAGAAAAACTTTATAAAACTGGGTTGTTTAAATGTGCGTGGATGTAGTGCGGATGACAAGAAACAGATGATTGCTGATGTTATGAATGAAAAGAAGTTGGATGTCCTGGCTCTAAGCGAAAACAAAGCTGAAGGGGGTAGGAGAGTTTCAGTGGGGGGAAATAAATGGGATTAAATCTGGAGTATCTGAGAGAGTTAGAGCAAAGGAAGGGGTAGCAGAAATGTTAAATGATCAGTTATGGAAGGAGAAAAAGAGAATATGAATGTGTAAATTCGAGAATTATGTGGATTAAAGTAAAGGTTGGATGCGAGAAGTGGGTCATAATAAGGTGTATGCACCTGGAGAAGAGAGGAATGCAGAGGAGAGAGAGAGATTTTGGAGATGTTAAGTGAATGTATAGGAGCCTTTGAACCAAGTGAGAGAGTAATTGTGGTAGGGGACCTGAATGCTAAAGTAGGAGAAACTTTTAGAGAGGGTTGTGGTAGGTAAGTTTGGGGTGCCAGGTGTAAATGATAATGGGACCCCTTTGATTGAACTTTGTATAGAAAGGGGTTTAGTTATAGGTAATACATATTTTAAAGAAAAAGAGGATAAATAAGTATACACGATATGATTGTAGGGCGAAATGACAGTAGTTTGTTGGATTATGTATTGGTAGATAAAAGACTGTTGAGTAGACTTCAGGATGTACATGTTTATGAGGGGCCACAGATATATCAGATCACTTTCTAGTTGTAGCTACACTGAGAGTAAAAGGTAGATGGGATACAAGGAGAATAGAAGCATCAGGGAAGAGAGAGGTGAAGGTTTATAAACTAAAAGAGGAAGCAGTTAGGGTAAGATATAAACAGCTATTGGAGGATAGATGGGCTAATGAGAGCATAGGCAATGGGGTCGAAGAGGAATGGGGTAGGTTTAAAAATGTAGTGTTAGAGTGTTCAGCAGAAGTTTGTGGTTACAGGAAAGTGGGTGCAGGAGGGAAGAGGAGCGATTGGTGGAATGATGATGTAAAGAGAATAGTAAGGGGAAAAGTTAGCATATGAGAAGTTTTTACAAAGTAGAAGTGATGCAAGGAGGGAAGAGTATATGGAGAAAAAGAGAGAGGTTAAGAGAGTGGTGAAGCAATGTAAAAAGAGAGCAAATGAGAGAGTGGGTGAGCTGTTATCAACAAATTTTGTTGAAAAAAAGAAAAAGTTTTGGAGTGAGATTACAAGTTAAGGAAGCCTAGAGAACAAATGGATTTGTCAGTTAAAAATAGGAGAGGAGAGTTATTAAATGGAGAGTTAGAGGTATTGGGAAGATGGAGGGAATATTTTGAGGAATTGTTAAATGTTGATGAAGATAGGGAAGCTGTGATTTCGTGTATAGGGCAAGGAGGAATAACATCTTGTAGGAGTGAGGAAGAGCCAGTTGTGAGTGTGGGGAAGTTCGTGAGGCAGTAGGTAAAATGAAAGGGGGTAAGGCAGCCGGGATTGATGGGATAAAGATAGAAATGTTAAAAGCAGGTGGGGATATTTGTTTTGGAGTGGTTGGTGCAATTATTTAATAAATGTATGGAAGAGGGTAAGGTACCTAGGGATTGGCAGAGAGCATGCATAGTTCCTTTATATAAAGGCAAAGGGGATAAAAGAGAGTGCAAAAATTATAGGGGGATAAGTCTGTTGAGTGTACCTGGTAAAGTGTATGGTAGAGTTATAATTGAAAGAATTAAGAGTAAGACGGAGAATAGGATAGCAGATGAACAAGGAGGCTTTAGGAAAGGTAGGGGGTGTGTGGACTAGGTGTTTACAGTGAAACATAAGAACATAAGAACATAAGAAAGGAGGAACACTGCAGCAGGCCTGTTGGCCCATACTAGGCAGGTCCTTTACAATTCATCCCACTAACAAACATTTGACCAACCCAGTTTTCAATGCTACCCAAGAAATAAGCTCTGATGTGCAAGTCCCACTCAAATCCAACCCCTCCCACTCATGTACTTATCCAACCTAAATTTGAAACTACCCAAAGTGAACAGTATTTAGATAAGGCTAAAGAGGTCTTTGTGGCATTTATGGATTTGGAAAAGGCGTATGACAGGGTGGATAGGGGGGCAATGTGGCAGATGTTGCAAGTGTATGGTGTAGGAGGTAGGTTACTGAAAGCAGTGAAGAGTTTTTACGAGGATAGTGAGGCTCAAGTTAGAGTATGTAGAAAAGAGGGAAATTTTTTCCCAGTAAAAGTAGGCCTTAGACAAGGATGTGTGATGTCACCGTGGTTGTTTAATATATTTATAGATGGGGTTGTAAGAGAAGTAAATGCGGGGGTCCTTGGCAAGAGGCGTGGATTTAAAAAGATAAAAAATCACACACAGGGTGGGAGTTGTCACAGCTGCTCTTTGCTGATGACACTGTGCTCTTGGGAGATTCTAAAGAGAAGTGCAGAGATTGGTGGATGAATTTGGTAGGGTGGGGCAAAAGAAGAAATTAAAGGTGAATA